TGAAGGTGGTAATGAAAGTTACTTTTTCTTGACTTCTGTTTCTCTTTAGTTATTGTTTTGTTCCAAACAAAGAGTTTTTCAATTATGTACTGAAATGAAATCACTTTCCTTCATATGTACTTATAGTACGTACACTAATGGGCTCACGCATGCGCGCACACACACACACACACACACCATAAGGGTTACACATTTTACTTAGTCCTACCACCAGACTACATAAGTCCTTATTTTTAGTTGAAGCCTGCATCAAGTTTGATATTTTTGTACTCAAACTAGTGAAAATGGTTCCTTTAGTAACTAAACCCATTGGCGCATATGCTTCTTCAGGCTGCTGCCTCAAACGGGGTGGAAGCAAATGTGATTGTAGATTACATCATCAAGGTATCAACTATAATTGCCTTTTGTTAATTGGAAAGCATACCTATAATTTTTCTTCTAATTATCATCTGCTATTTGGGATCTTAGATTTTGGGACTTGAAGTCTGTGAGGATACAATTGTAGGGAATGAAATGTTAAGGGGTATGTCAGGAGGAGAACGGAAGCGACTTACAATAGGTACAATATATCTTTTCTTTTCTTAATTTAGAAATAGAAATGCTTTTATTAATGACTGGAAAATACTCTGAGAAGCCTAATTGCATCATTAGGTGAAATGCTTGTGGGACCAGCAAATGTTTTCTTGATGGATAATATATCAAGCGGTTTGGACAGTTCAACGACTTTCCAAATCCTGAAATCCATTAAACATTATGTACACATTCTCCGTGGAACTGCAGCAATTTCACTTCTTCAGCCCGCACCAGAGTGCTTTGATCTGTTTGATGATATTATTCTAATATCTGAAGGCCAGGTCGTTTATCAGGGCCCTCGTGACTATGTGCTTGAATTTTTTGAATTCATGGGGTTCAGGTGCCCGGAAAGGAAAGGAGTGGCTGACTTCTTGCAAGAGGTAAGGAAGCATGTGGCGCTTTCACTGGAATTTGGCTCACTTTCCATGGGCACCGTCTTCCGCACTCTCCAGTCCGTCACCCACTTTACATCTAAAGCGAAGTTTAACCCGACTTGGACAACATTTCACACTAACAAACTCAATAGATATTTGTTAATGAATGGGTGCAACACGATTTACTCTTCCCTGGAATCTAAATACTCTCAAGCAGAACTATTAAAATTTTCTTTCCGTAAAAAGTAAATCCTTTCCATCTTAACTATTAAATTTGTTCTAACCCACTCTAAAAGAACCCTTAAGAAGTGATGTATACCTCACATTTATATACTATAGTCTGGATGCAAACCCAATAGACAAGTAATGTGGGATACTCAAGTACTCAACAATAACAAACACCCGAAGAGAAATAGTTGTTGGCAGAGTCAATATTTCAATAACAATAATTGAGAAATGAACGGTGAGGAATTCTCTTTGATTTCAGGTAACATCAAGGAAAGATCAACCGCAGTATTGGGTGCATAAGGAAAGGCCATACAGATTCATGACAGTCAAGGAAATTTCTGAAGCATTTCAAGCTTTTCACATTGGCCGTGACTTAGGTGATGTGCTTGGTACCCCTTTTCAAAAGGCTAGAAGTCATCCTGATGCCTTAACTACCAAAACATATGGAGTTAGTAAAGTGGAGCTAATCAAGTCATGTTTCTCCAGAGAGGTTCTGCTGATGAAGCGAAATTGTACTCTCTATGTTTTTGGAATTGCTTCGGTATGGACGCTGGTTTACCCATGTATGTTTTTCAAGCCACACCCCTCTCCTTTGGAACTTCGGCGTTTAACTGTTTTTATTTATAAAAAAACTTTTAGGCAGTCATTTTGGCAGTGGTTACATTAACAGTGTTTATGAGGATCCATCTTGACCGAAAGTCAATCTTCAGTGCACAAATGTACATGGGCTCGCTCTTTTTTACCCTTTCTGTCTTCCTGTTCAGTTCCATACAAGAGTTAGCCCCAACTATTTTGCGGCTTCCTGTTTTCTATAAGCAAAGAGACCATTTGTTTTATCCTGCGTGGGCTTATGCAATACCCACATGGATCCTTGGAATCCCCATATCATTTATGGAAGTTTCTATATGGGTGTTCTCTACATACTATGCCATTGGTTATGATCCAAATGCTGGAAGGTGGGCAATTACATAATCAACCAACCAATTTTTTCCCACTAATTGTCAAGCTCAACACATTAACTCTTCGCCTCTTTGAATGCAGGTTATTGAAACAATGGCTTTTGCTCCTAATTTTCAAACAATTTTCATCTGCATTGTTTAGATGTGCTGCGGTTGTAAGTAGGAGTTTGATCATAGCATTTGTTGCGGGTTCATTCGTAATGCTTATTTTTGTTTGCTTAGGTGGTTTCATCTTGTCACGAGGTATTGTTATTATTATGATTGTGTGTTTATTTACTCAGCCTTTTTTATTTTGGTACTAGCTGTTAGCCGACCCCAAACTTTTTTGGGAGTAAGGCTTGGATGTTGTTGTACTAGTTGTTTTATTATTATTTCAGAGGATGTGAAGAAATGGTGGCTTTGGGGTTATTGGATATCACCTCTGATGTATGGTCAAAATGCTATAGCAGTAAATGAGTTCCTTGGAAAAAGTTGGAGAAATGTAAGCATTTCTGCTATTCAAATGCTTACTTTTAGAAACGGTTTCATCTAGACTAGATGGAGTATTGCAATTTCTCCTCCAATCTAGCGTGCAAAAGATCTTTGTTTATTTGCTACACTTAGGTGCTGTTCTGTTCGTCTTATTCTTATTACTTATTGCTTATTCTTATTTTATTCAGATCAGATCAGATCAAAAAAATTCAGATCAGATCAGATCAGAAAAATTCAGATTAGATCAGATCAGATCAGAAAGATTCAGATCAGATCAGATCAGAAAGATTCAGACCAGATCAGAAACATTCAGATCAGATCAGAAAAGTTCAACCATGATTTATCACTTTTATTATTATATTAATTATTATTAATATTGTTATTTCTATTATGATTAATTATTATATAATTTTTATTAATAATATTAATAATAATATGATAAAAAAATAAGATATTAATAATAGTTGTAATATTTTAATATAATAATAGTAACATAAATCCAATTATTAAGAAGACTATTATTATTATTATCATTATTATTACAATATAATATGATTAATATCATTATAATATTATATTGTAATTATATGTAATTATAATTATAATTACAATTTTAATTCTTATAATTATAAGTATAATCAATTGTAATTATTATAATTATATCTATAATTATTTATAATTATAATTGTAATTAATTATAATTATAATAATTAAAAAATTAAAATTACAATCATAATTATAATTATGATTATAATTATAATTATAATATTATAATAATATAATACTAATTATAATAATAATAATCATATTATTATATTATTGTAATAATAATATTAATATAATAATATCTTTAGAATAATATTAATTGTATTTATATTACTATTATTATATTATAATATTATAAGTAATGTTAATATAATTATAATTATTATTAATTATAATTATAATAGTTATAATTATACTTATAATTATATTATAATTATAATTTATGATTATAATTATTATTTTTATTATAATTATTAATATTATTATTATTATTACTATTGTAATTATTTTACGGAGTAATTATAATAATATTGATAACTATAGTTACAATTATAGAGATAAATATTGTAATTATAATTACAATTATAATTATATAAGTAATTATAATTAAAAATATAATTACAATTATAATTATATCTTTATTTATAATTAGTGTAATAGGTATAAATTTTTTCATTTTAAATTTAATTTTAATAATAATTATTATTATTTTTATAGTTATGATTATAATTATAATTTTATTTAAATTATATTTGTAATTGCAATTATAATAATTATAATTATAAATATAATTATAATCATAGAAATATTCAAATCAGATCAGATCAGAAAGATTCAGATAAGATCAGAAGGATTCAGATCAGATCAGACCAGATCAGAAACATTCAGATCAGATCAGAAAGATTCAGATCAGATCAGAAAGATTCAGATCAGATCAGAAAAATTCAGATCAGAACTTAAAAAATTCAGATCAGAAACATTCAGATCAGGCGAAGAGAACAGCTTCTTATTTCTCATTGAACAGTAATGAAAATAGCAGCATGAGAGTTACACTTTTTTAGTTGGAATGGCTAAGATGGATGGCTGATATTTTTCATGTTATACATATGTACTTGTTATGCTTAAATTATTTTCTTTAGTTAATTTATTTGAAGTGAGAAAAAGAAACCAGCCATTTTTTATGTAGTGCCTGTGAACAGGGTTTAATTACAGTCAATGATGTTTATTGATTGATTTCATCATCTTCCTTTCCTAGTAAACTTTCTCCAAACACACTTTTTCCCCGCCTTTTTTTTGCGAGGGCCTACCTAGTGTTGAAATATAAACTACAAAATATAATATTGAAGAGAGGAGGAAAGATTTTCTGTGTATTTCATTGGAGGGTTAAGTCCCTATAAATATACATTACAAAGATAGAATATTCCTATAAGATTCTATACAATAATAATATCCTAGAGTATATTCCTAAAATATTCTAAAGTATATTCTAAGGATAGAAGAATATTCTAAAGTATATTCTAAAGTATATTCTAATGTCTTTCACACTCCCCCTCAAGTTGGAGCATAGATATTTATCATGCCCAACTTGTTACATAAATAACCAACACGAATTCCATTTAATGCTTTAGTGAACAAATCTCCAAGTTGCTCTCCAGTCTTCACATATCCTGTAGAGATCAATCCTTGTTGTATCTTTTCTCGAACAAAGTGACAATCGACCTCAATATGTTTTGTTCTCTCATGAAACACTGGGTTGTTGGCAATGTGTATAGCAGCTTGGTTATCACACCAGAGTTTAGCAGGCATTGGTGTCTTCAATCCGATTTCACTCAGCAAATGGTTTATCCAGATTATCTCACATGCCGATTGTGCCATAGCCCGATATTCTGATTCAGCACTCGAACGAGAAACCACATTTTGCTTCTTACTTTTCCAAGAGACGAGATTACCACCAACAAAGACGCAATAGCCAGATGTGGATCTCCTATCATCTTTAGATCCAGCCCAATCAGCATCTGCAAAGCATTCTATTCTCATGTGATCATGATTTTGGTAAACAATACCTCGTCCTGGTGTCCCCTTCAAGTAACATAATATATGCTCTACTGCATTCCAGCGATTAACTGTCGGAGATGACATATATTGACTCACTACGCTCACAGAGTAAGCAATGTCTGGACGAGTGACTGCGAGATAGTTAAGCTTTCCAACCAATCTTCTGTACCTTTCTGGGTCTTCGAATGGTATGCCTTCTGAAGTGAGTTGCACATTGGGAACCATGGGAGTTGTGTTTGGCTTTGCTCCCAATTTCCCTGTTTCAGTTAGTAAATCAAGTACATATTTACGCTGAGATAGAAATATGCCTTTCTTACTCCGTGTTACCTCAATACCCAGAAAGTATTTCAATGAGCCTAGGTCTTTTGTTTGGAATTGGCTATGAAGAAAATTCTTAAGGGCCAAAATACCTGCGGTATCACTTCCTGTAATCACAATATCATCGACATACACCACAAGCAATGTGATACCTGCTTTTGTTTTTCTGTAAAAGACAGAGTGATCTGATTGACCTTTTATCATTCCAAACCGTTCAATGGATTGACTGAATTTCCCAAACCATGCATGAGGACTCTGTTTCAGACCATAAAGAGATTTGCGAAGTCGACAAACTTTCCCATACTCCCCCTGAGCAACAAATCCCGGAGGTTGCTCCATATAAACTTCCTCCTGAAGGTCACCATGTAAGAATGCATTTTTAATGTCCAACTGGTGTAAGTGCCAATCATGAGTTGCAGCGAGTGAGATAAGTAACCTGACAGATGTTAATTTAGCAACAGGAGAAAAAGTGTCAGAATAATCAACACCATAGGTTTGAGCATAACCCTTTGCAACCAATCGAGCTTTCAATCGAGCAACAGATCCATCTGGATTAACCTTAACAACAAAGACCCACTTACATCCAATAGACTTCTTCCCTGAAGGCAAGTATACCAAATCCCAAGTACCATTAAGATCCAAAGCATTCATTTCCTCTACCATGGCATGACGCCATTCAGGATGAGACAAAGCTTCTTTAACAGATTTGGGAACAGAAATAGAATCAATGGAAGCAACAAAAGAACATGAGGCAGGAGATAACTGACTGTATGACACAAATGAGGAAATAGGATGACTACAAGACCGTGTACCTTTACGTAGTGCTATCGGGAGGTCAAGATCAGATGTAGAGACAAGATCTGAAGATGCAGGTACTGGTTCAAGACATGAGATCGAAGTCGGACCAGTATCAGGATATGTAATCACAGGTGTCACAGGTGGGGAGTGATCTTGTGCTTTGTGTCGACGGGTGTAAACCAAGTGTACAGGAGGTCTAGGGTCAGGAACAGTGACATTCGACATAGTTACTGAAGGTGTGGTCTCAGGTATAGTAACTGTGTAAATGAGTATTTCATCGTTGTCCTCATGAATATCTGTCTTGGATGATGAAAATGGTGTATTTTCATGAAATGAGACATCAATAGAAATAAGATATCGACCTGTACTTGGACAAAAACATCTATACCCCTTTTGAACTCGAGAATAACCCAAGAAAATACATTTCAATGACTTGGGGTCCAATTTCGTCCGATGAGGGTTAACATCTCTAACAAAACAAGTGCAACCAAATATTTTAGGTGGAATAGGAAAAAGTTCTTTATTTGGAAAAAGACATTGATAAGGAGTTTTACCATCCAAAACAGAAGATGGCATACGATTGATCAAAAAACATGAAGTAGACACAGCGTCAGCCCAAAACTGTTTAGGCACATTCATTTGGAATAGAAGAGCCCTTGCAGTTTCTAACAGATGTCGATTCTTTCTTTCAGCAACTCCATTTTGAGGAGGTGTGTCTACGCATGAAGTTTGATGAATAATGCCATGTTGAAGCATAAAAGATTTAAATGGAGCAGATAAATATTCTTGGGCATTGTCTCCCCTTAACACACGAACAGGAACATTAAATTGAGTTTTAATTTCAGCACAAAATGCAGAGAAATGAGTAAATAACTCGGATCGGCGCTTCATAAAATAAACCCATGTCATACGAGAATAATCGTCAACAAAAGTGACAAAATATTTGAAACCAGGTTTGGACACAACTGGACATGCCCCCCAAACATCAGTATGGACAAGATCAAACGGAGCATTTGCTCGTTTATTAAGTCGGGGACTTAAACTAGTGCGATGATGTTTAGCAAACTCACACGACTCACATTGTATAGAAGACACCTTATTAAACTGAGGATATAATTGCTTCATTAGTGAGAGAGATGGATGTCCTAATCGTTAATGAGCTTCTAATAGATTTCCAACCCCAAGGCAAGAGATACCTTTTGTAATTGATGTATCCAAAATATAAAGACCACCCGACTCATGTCCTTGACCAATAGTATGCTTCGTTAACAGATCCTGAAACACACAATATCCCGGAAAAAATGTTACTGAACAATTAAGAGTACGTGTGATTTTACTGATGGAAAGCAGATTAAATGCAAAATTAGGAAGACTCAAAACAGACGATAATGGTAATGTAGAAGTTGGTACAACAGTACCAGATCCAAGAACGGGTGAGGTAGACCCGTCTGCTAAAGTGACACTGGAAGCAGGTAAATGTGAGTGAAATGATGAGAATAGACTAGGATTACCAGTCATATGATCTGTGGCACCTGAGTCAATGACCCATTTTGAGGATGATGAAACAAGACATGTGTTTGAAATACCTGAATTTGCGACTACCGAGATAGGGGTAGATGAATGCTTTAGAGATTCTTGGTAGCAAATAAATTTAGCATACTCGTCTGAAGAAATAGCAATTGATCCATCAAATGAACTTGTAGCGGAAGCAACATGAGCAAGCTGATTTCCTTGATTTTTGAACAGCAACTTTCTACATTCTTTGAGCAAGTGCCCGGGCTTCTTGCAGTAATGGCATATTACTCCTCTGCCAAATGGACCCGTAAAAGACATTTTTTTTTTTGATTTTTTTTTTTTTGATTTTTTTTTTGATTTTTGTTTTTACTTTTTTTTTGAGAATAAATAAATAAATACAGCTAATTAAGACTTACCAGCCGCAGCTCAATAGATGGTTGGCGAGGTATGGGTTTCTGACTTACCAGCTAATGATAGTGGCGACTCCAAAAATATAACGCAGCCCCTTTCTAATTCGAGCCAGCTCACCTAGTCTCAAATCCCAACCTTTCTCAACAGTCTGGTACGAATAAATAGACAAAATATATACGCAGCCCCCTTCCAAAAGTATCTGCGTCGCCAACCTCAAGAAGACCGTGGATCCAAAAGCTCGCAGATCGGAAAAATGGATTTGCCTGGCAGAGATGGCGATTTCCGATTAGAAATCCGGTTAGCTATGAAGCTTCACTCGCCGGCGCGTGCGGCAGCCGCGAAAGTCTTCGGCGGCGCGTGTGACTGACGCGCGAAGCTTTGCCGGTGCGGACTCCAAAGACGTGGTCGGCGGCGGCAAGTGCAATTGGTTAGGACGGAGGTGAGAAATAGGACGGTGTTGGTCTGGACAGAGGTTCTGTTTAATGGTGTGTAGAGGTTCTGTAGGCAGAATGGTGTGTAAGGTTCTGAAAATGGTGTGTAAGGTTCTGAAGTTAACTCAAGTTCTTGGAGAAAGAACCCAGCCTGAATACTGAACTGAAATCAGCCTGAATAAAGAACTGAAATCTGAAAAACTAAACTGAAATGGAAGGCTCTGATACCATGTTGAAATATAAACTACAAAATATAATATTGAAGAGAGGAGGAAAGATTTTCTGTGTATTTCATTGGAGGGTTAAGTCCCTATAAATATACATTACAAAGATAGAATATTCCTATAAGATTCTATACAATAATAATATCCTAGAGTATATTCCTAAAATATTCTAAAGTATATTCTAAGGATAGAAGAATATTCTAAAGTATATTCTAAAGTATATTCTAATGTCTTTCACACCTAGTATGCAATAACTTCTTCTTCTTCAAGACTAATAACAAACACTAAAACTAGCTGACATTTAACATTTATATATGTGTATATATATGGTATGATAGGTCCTTCCGTTTTCATCAGAATCATCACTTGGTGTTTTGGTACTCAAGTATCGTGGGCTTTCCCCAAAGGCATATTGGTACTGGATTGGGGTAGGGGCACTGATTGGATACACAATTATGTCAAACTTCCTGTACACTCTTGCTCTGGCTACACTAAAGCGTACGTACAAATTATCTACATAAAAAAATAATACTATAATACTTTGAGTTAATTAACACTACTAATACTAATAGAGACTCATACTAATATTCTGGGGATCACACTTTTCAGCACTTGCGCAATCTAAGACCATTATTATGTCACCAGAATCTGAAGGTAAGCAGTCCAGTCAGGCAGGATTGGAATACACATGTTTATTACTACGCATTATGTATCAATCGATGAAACTGTCCAACGTCTAAACCTTTTTTTCTTTTAAACTAAAACATATTTTCTTTGGATAGTTGGTGACAGAGGATGTGGACGAGCCGCGAAAACTAACCCAATGTTTTCAGGCCTCAACTACATCAAATGTGGGATGGCCCTTTCATTTCAGCCGCATTCCATTGCTTTTAATGATATTAAATATTCAATAGATATGCCCCAGGTAATAAATAAATAAATACATTAATAAATAATTCTTTTATTCATTTATTGCTCCAGCAAATCTTTATGTGTTGTGCACAATGCATATGCATCATGCATGCATACATAAAGAGGCCTACCTATCTGATGCCATGTTTAATCTTCCCTTCTAAGGTTTGGTTTATCCCTTTCTGGGGCGGCACTTTAGCAAATTGATTGGTGTGTACTAATACAACAACAACAACAACATCCAAGCCTTAATCCCAAAAGATTTTGGGGTCGACTAACATGAATCGATAATCCCATGATATTGATGCCAAAAAGAGAAGACATACAAGAAGAAGAAGAAAAAGATAAAACGGATAAGATAAAGATAAATAAATATATGATAACAAAAACATAAGAATATAAGAAAGATAAGATAAAAAGATAAAAGAGCATAAAAAGCTAGAAGATACAAGAAAACATAAGAACATAAAAAGATAAAGAAGATAAACGATAAAAGAAAAAGAGAGAGGAAAGATAGAAAAGAGATCAATTATCCACACGAATGTGCGCCCTCCACTTTTCTCCCTCCAAAGCCATACTCTCATCCAACCCAAGAAGACGCATATCAGTTCCCATTCCTCTAATCCAAGTTTGTTTGGGTCTTCCCCTCCCTCTTCTCTTTGTCTCTTCTTCCCACCCCTCAAGTCGTCTAAGAGGTGCATCACTCGTTCTTCTACGCACATACCCAAATCACCGCAAACGAGACTCTTGCATCTTATCTTCTATAGGTGCTACTCCCACCTTTTTTATGATTATCTCATTCCTCAAGCGATCTTTTCTGATATGTCCACACATCCAACGCAACATACGCATATCTTTTGAATGTGACACTGTTTCACTGCCCAACACTCTATAGTAGTCTACACCATACATTAATGCGGGCCTAATTGGTGTGTAGTAATGTAATAAAAAAAATATAAATCATGATTTTTCAAGACTAATTTGGTCTGATTAGGTACACAAACCAAAAACAAATGTTGTAATTTTTCCTTTTAAGTTTAAACAGACATTTTCCAGAATCAACATAGAACCGTCAATGCAAACTGTTTTTTACATATTAAAAATAAATTAAAAATTACACTTGTCCATCAAGAAAACAAAAACTAACCAAAATGCTAGAATGAGTATGCATACGGTCATGCTTGCTTTACTTGTTTTAGTTGTTTATCCATTTATTGAATATAAAAATAGAATAGTACACGAACCAATTTTTTTTGGACCGACCATCTATCTCCATCTTCACAACCTTTAACCTTTAACCAACTTAAAGCGTGCTGCATGCATCCTAAAGGTTTTAGGGGAGGCCAATAGAAAATCAAATTCAAGAAGTTTAGATTGACCTCCGGTACAAGCGCTACGATACTACACCAAAATTGATCCGCCAACCCTCTCCGCCATGCCGGAATATAATTAAGATCGGAGAAACTGCCCGGCCTCCTAGATCCATTGCATTGCCAACACCATCAAGACACTTTGTTAACTAGCTAGCTTTTAAGGATAGTGTTTGAATACTTCCTTTTAAGGATAAAGTGAAAACATCACTAAAAAAAATTGTCCTTGAATTGAAATATTTATTACTCAACTCTGTCCAAGATTTTTAGCTAAAAAATTGCTGGTTGTCCTAAAAAAATCTATATCGCTAACAGACAAAACCACTAACACATCCGCTGGTGAGAAATGATTTATGATATGTTTTTGTTGAACCAAAAAAGGGTATAAAAGTAGGTGAACTTAACTAATTGCACTTTACTCATAGAACGAGCAGGACACAAACTTGTAATGTTAAGTAGCTAGTGATGCTGAAGCTAAGCAGTTGTGTGTCATAATAGAGTGAATGTGCAGGAGATGAAGGATCAGGGTGTCACAGACGAACGTCTTGAGCTTTTGAAAGGTGTGAGTGGGGCCTTTAGGCCAGGTATTCTGACAGCTCTTATGGGGATTAGCGGTGCAGGTAAAACCACACTTATGGATGTTCTATGTGGGAGGAAAACATGTGGATATATTGAAGGGGACATCAGCATTTCTGGCTTTCCAAAGAAGCAGAAAACATTTGCCCGCATTTCTGGATACTGTGAGCAAAATGACATCCACTCTCCTCACCTTACAGTATATGAATCCTTGATTTTTTCAGCTTGGCTCCGCTTAACATCGCAAGTCAATTCAGAAACTAGAATGGTAAGTTGTGCACACACAAAAATCTGAGCTTGAGCTTGTTTGGTTGGAGAACTTTGGAGGGAAGGGGTGGAAGTTTTCATGAAATGTGTTGAATGCTATGGTTGGGGATGGGGGTCCAGTATGCTCATCTCACTTCCCCAGTTTAGGGCTCTTTCGCTGTAGTTTAATTTTTTCTTCTCAACCTTTTTAAACATCTTTCCATCATTTGCAATGAAGCCAAATATTCATTATTTTTTGGCTTGACAATATGATGGAAATGGAATAAAGCAAAATGGCTCACTAAGCTGTCTGCGCTTCTTTGTTATGAAGCAGTAGTCAATCCATGCTATTTTAGACACGATTTTCACTATGGGTCATCCGGAAACAGTCTCTCTGTGCTTTAGTACAGGAGTAAGACTGCGTACATCCGACCCTCCCTTACCCCACCTTAGGTGAGAGCCTTTGCGGCACTGGGGTAAATGAAAATGAAATGAAATGATGAAATGAACCTTTTTAAACATCAAAGTCAGTATACATTATTGTTGTTATACATATATTACGTAGTACTATATTTAATTACTACAAAATCTACATACATTGGTACATTATTTTCATACACCTTTCTAGAAAAGTAATTCATCACTCCATTCGACCAAAGATAACATCTTTTTTAACTCTTCTTTTCTGCTCTCCTCTCGCCTTCTGAACCAGCAAGGTCTAGTAGTAGACTGGACCCATGTAATGTTGAACACACGACCTTGTCCCTTATACTCCACACTTCCACAGTATACAGATCTGAATTGAAGCCCAAATTTGCATTAGCTTACTTTTTTTTGTCAGGTCACTTAAGATTTTGTTAGCATTTCTTTTGTAAACACTTTTTTCATACACCTTATCCAATAATGGTGTTGGTTCATGGGCGTACAACCCTGAGCCCATTTTTGAAAGGGTAAATTCAGTTGAAATAGATGAATTGACTGATATAAAGTCTTATTTCCTTTTCATCTGTTTTAGCCGAAAAAGTAACTTCTGAACTGCTTTTTTCATGGACCAATTCAACAATCACAATCAAATACGTTAGTGTTTGGGAACTAAATTTTATCTTTTTTATTTATTTTGACGATGAATGCTAAAAGATGTTCATTGAGGAGGTCCTGGAATTGGTTGAACTTACCTCTTTGAGGGAAGCAGTAGTTGGGTTACCTGGCGTGAATGGCCTATCAACCGGACAAAGGAAAAGGCTGACCATTGCAGTGGAATTGGTGGCTAATCCTTCTATACTCTTCATGGATGAGCCAACCACGGGCCTTGATTCAACCGCTGCTGCAATCATCATGAGGACAATTAGGAACATTGCTGACACTGGTAGAACAATTGTCTGCACTATCCACCAGCCAAGTATTGA